ACAAAATTTTTTAGATTCAAACTGTTATAAATTGTATTAAATAGAAATTTAAAAATAAAATTTAATCGAAACAGTTTAATATTTTTGTGGCGCGATTCTATAATAAAAAATATATTAAAATAAATTGTAATATGAAAATTAAACATAAGAATTGAACTAAATATATAACTACACTTTTCATTTGAATTTCGTTTTATTACGTAGCATTTAATTTTTAGATCATTGAAGTAAATTTTCTTAAAGAATAAATTAAACATTTTTTGAAAAATAATTATGGATTTGATAATTTTGTCGATAATTTTATATTTTGTGAGCAGAAAGAAACTAACTAATCAGAAAATAATAAAATTGAAAATGTAATAATGGAAAAAATATAAAAATATTTTCATCAAACCAAAAATAAGATAAATGAAAATATAATAAAAGAAAACTCATTAATGAATTTTTGATAATACAATATGATAACTGAATATAAACATGATTTAAAATAATTTAACTTAATTTCATAATTAATTGTATATTATGAAATAAAAATTTAAGTAGGAATAGATGGAAAGCGAAATCTAAAAAATTCATGTGAGAATAAAATATAAAATAAAACAGCTGACCGAAGTAATATATAATAAATATTGATTGAAATGAAAAATTATAATTAATATGAGACTATCATTATAATTTCGATTATAATAACTTCGGTTATAAATGAATAATTTTCACATTTTGCCCCAGAAATTTACATATAAAAGTAACAGGAATTTCATGCTGAAATAATATAAGACATATAAGTACTTTTTATAGAGTGCTATTTGCTATTTTCACAAATTAAGAAAGAAGTTAATACTTAATTGTTCAATGAAAGAAATTAAATATTTCAAAGAATAAAATTTGTTTTAGAAAAAAAAAGTTTATGATCTATATATGTTATGATCTATATTTGTTAACAATATTTGATACATAAAATTCAAAAATATTAATTTTCATAATATTAATTTTCAAAAGTTATGAATCTTTAAATATAATCCAATATTAATCTAAGTTTACATTTTGGATGCTTTGTATGTTTAGATTAATAAAACTATAATCCAAAACACACTATAATTTTTAATGTTTCTCAAGATTAATGCAGATTAATACAGTGTATTTAAATTTTATATATATAAAAGTTATATAATGTATTTCTTAATAATATAGAAGGGTTAACTACAGATTTTATATTTTAGATGTAATTACATACTTGATATCTCAATATTGTAATATCCATATATTCTATTCCATTTATAGCCATGCTATACTATATTGAATTGGTCTCATATTTAATTTTACCTATTGCACAATCTAAACAAAGATTCTATTTAATGAAAATATGATGTAATATATAATATATAATATGATATAATACAATCCATAATATATAATGTATTTATATATTAATATAATATAAGAGTATATATACATCTTTCACAATTTTAGAATTAATAGTAATTGAATTATTAATTATCCAATTATAAATTGTTTCAATTTTAAAATTTAATTTAATTTAATAAAAATTCAATGTATTGCAGGCAAATTTACCTTAAATTTGAGAAATTCTATACCCAGTGATAAATATCTGTAATACCAGAATAATTATTATTTCATTAGAATTATTGAAGAACCTATTCCATAGTATTTGCTTGCTAATAGTCTAATTATTGCTTTCTTTTTTGAAACAGTTGATTCAAAAGATTTTTTATCAATTCTATATAAATCATATAGTCTGTATAATATAGACATTAACTTAACACATTAATCATATTCATCTCAACCAACATTCGTACTAAACAACAAATTACAATATGATTGATTTATAATTTTGCTAATAATAACAATCAATAAAAAGTTTAAAATAATTTTGAATTTACATTATAAAAAATATTTTTTCTATAAAAGAAATCAAACAATTAAAGTTTGTTTATTTCAATTAATCAATCTATTAAAAAATATAAGTTTCTTCACTACAAAATATATCATTATTTATAAAATTTCAAAGATAATTAAAAAACTATTTGAAAATTCATTTCTTATTTGCATTATTTCTCAGCAATTAGAAAAAGATAATTTGATTTATTTAAAAGAAAAATAAATTTATACTAATGATGAAAATAATATCTATGAATCAAATCAATTTTCTATCAATCTTCAGAAAATTCAATTTTAAGAAGATATCTTTTTATAAAGATTGGCTAGTAATCAAAAATAATTTAGTATTATTCTTTACATTGAAACATTTCTCTCAAAATCCGAATAAGCATTAAATAATATTCATAGCACTTAGATGAACAAAACTATTAAAAGACTATATCTCATCTAGCAATAAATGTTTTAGTCAAAAATTTTTATTAAAACATAAAATATAACAATAAAAATATAAAAATATAATTAATAATATATAATATATAATATATAATAACAATAAAAATATAAAAATATTACTATAATATATAGATATATTTATTTCTCTGTATTATAAGTATTATTTTATTTATTTATATTTAAATTAATTTTTTTAATTTTATTATTTTATTATTAATTTTATTATTTATTATGATTTTTTTAATTAAAATATTTTTTAATATTTTTTTTAATAAATAAAAATTATAATCGAAATCATTATTATATTATTAGTAACGTATTATATTACTAATAAATTATCAAATATATACTTTTATGTTTATTTTAATTTCTAGAATTAATCTCCAAAGATGTCCTATAAAAATAATTAACATATAATTACATATTTATCATATATAATTATCAATGAATGAAAAATTATGAATAATATTCATAATTTAGAATAATGAAATATCAATGAATGAATTATCAATAAATGAAAAAATGAACAAGAATTAATTATAACATAATAGCAACAGATAATTTTTAAAATTTATTTTTGTTTAATTAATTTAATTTATTAAAGTTAATTTTTAATATATTGTTAAAGTTTATCATGAAACTAAGTTTATAATAATATATTAAAATATTATATATAATACTATTATATTATACATTAACATATAGTATTATTATATATTATTAGTATTAGTATTAGTATTATTAGATATTATAAGAAATCTCATAATATGATGATTTTATGAATAATTCGTGAATTATTCATTTTATAAAAAAATATTTCATAAACAAAAGTATATGAAAATGTATAAAAAAAATATAATATGGTGTTATTATAAATGGGCATTTAGAGGATATACAAAATCCAATTTATTTTATTAAATAAAATCATGTATTTTCTAATAAATTCGACTACTATATAAATTATAAAAAAATTATTCATTTATTAAAATAATTATTAAAATAATTAAAAAATAAAAATTATTACTTTAAAAGATATTTTAATTCAAATTTTATGAAACTTATTATATAATTAACAAAGAAAGCATAAGAAAAAAATATTATTTTATTTCTTTTTTTTCTATATTTAATATATATATAACACACCAGGATAATTACTCTATTTAATCAGAATAACTATTTACCATTTCTAGAAGAAAAAAAAAACCGAAAAAATACTGATAATATATTTCGATTGTTAATATATATTTACAAACATAACACTAATATTAAAATTATATTAATAATACAATATATATAATAAATCTTTATTTTCAATTTTTTTTCTAATACCTCTTGTCCATTCTCATAAAATATAGAGAATATTGTGAATCTAAGCTTGTTCTAATCACCAAATCACTTTAATTTAAATAATTTAATTTAAATAACTTTTTAAGATTAAAGTTATATAAAAACAATTAGATATCAATATCATTTTGATAAACATAACCTAAATAATTGCAATAAAGAATACAGAATGGTTAACATAGAATAAAATAACTGGCTTTATGATGTCATAGCAAAGTAAAAGAGAGGATTTGGTATTACTTTTTTCATTATATGCCTTATGTTACATTTTCATGTAATGATAAATTGATGATTTTTAAGGCCATTTGCATACGATCATAAGTTATCATTTTTTTATTGATCACAATTATGACAATTTTAATTATGATTTTTGATGTTATAAAAAATATCACATTATTAAAAATAACTGCATGCTATATCACATAGTATCTCTCACTTACAAAAATCATAACTTTATTATGCAAAATATTTATGTGAATCTTATAATTATAATAATAACTGACGTAACTTTCGTTATCGTGAAAATCTTAGATCATATATGCTTATAGATACAATCTATATGGATTCAAGAAATAAATTGGAGCAAAAATAATGAAAAAAATATGATATCTTATAAATAAAAAATGTAGATACTATAAATAAATAATTCAAAATATATATATTATGTATTAAATATACATATGTATTATGTATTAAATATACATATGTTACAAACATTATAAACAAAAGAGATTATAATTTATGTAATTTATGTAATCTTAATTCAAAATATATATTGTTGAATTGAAAAGCTTTGCATCTATATTAAACTTTTATTTAATAAGAGCATATAATTATTAAAAATATATATAAAATAAAATAAAATCAAATATATATTTCAAATTTAACAATAATTAAATTACATTTCGTAAATATTTATATATTATTTTGGAAGAAAAAACTGTCATTATTATTTCGCCAATATATGATATGTAGATAATCTTTATATCAATACAATTATCTAGTTTTATATAATATAATATTATATAAATGTAATATATAATTTTAGATTAAAGATGAAAATTAGATGTCGCGTTGTCATTAATGCGAATTAATTAATTAAATTAACATTGGAATTAAGTTTATTACAACATGCATATAGTATTATGACAATATGATTTTTATTTACATGAAAATGTATCTTTAATCTAGAAGTTTTAAGGTACGATATACATAGAAGTTTTAAAATAAAATATAAATTAATTTCTTTTATAATAATGCAAAATTAAATCTGTAGATTTGATACACAATGAATCATAAAAATATCATAAAATATTTGCATGAATTGTAATAATTTGTAATAAAAATATTTGATAAAAAGGGAATCAGTAATTAGAACGAAGATGTAAACAGATGCCACGCCTTTTTATCGCAGACGAACAGTAAACTGTTGCAAGATATATTATTAAATTAAATATGTATTCGTATTTATTTAGAACAATATATCTCTATTTATTATTATTATTCATAATAGTAGGTGAGTAAATATCAAATAATAACTATATAGATTTATCCCTATATTAAGAAAAGTGCAATTTTATTTATCAGAATGAAAATGTACGGTTTTGAAAATGATGAAAAAAAATATATTATTAAATATATTATTAAGTATAATTAGATATAAAACAAAAATCTTTTTTCTTTTTTCATATTTCTTATAAAATATTTCTTATATTAATAGATCATGATAAATTATATTATTAATTATATTATTATATATTAATAATAATATCATTATAATCAATAATAATAAAAATTTGTATTAATATAACATTATTATTTCATATTAATAATAAGAATTCGTAATAGTAAATTTATTAAGGAATAAAAAATTGATAATATTGATTATGTTCAATTTGAGGTTATAAAATATTAATTTCGATCTATTTCTAATTCATATGAATAAATTTTAGGAACTGAAGCCATTCGTTGTTATCAGTGTAGTAGTGACACTGATCCTAAAGGGGAAGATTTATGTGGAGCATATACAAAATTTGATAAAGAAAAAAATATTGCTGTAGAATGCAATAGTGAAGAATCAAATATGCCCGGTACATTTTGTGTTAAAATAACACATCAGAGTCCTCGTGGTTTTATTTGTAAGTTTTTTTTTTTTTTAAATATTTTATTTACTTCTTTATATCGTTTGTATTCATTTGATTATTAATTTGTATATTTGTATTTAAATGAATTTATTATTCAAATTAATTTTTAAAGGGAACGGTAGATGGCGCCAGGTGATTCGTCGATGTGCTTCAGTATCTAGTACAGGAGTTACGGGTGTTTGTAACTGGGGAGTTTATGAAAATGGAGTATATTGGGAAGAATGTTCTTGTTCGGAAAATTCTTGTAACGGAGCATCAACATTATCATCATTTTCAATAATCATTTTATTGATTTTTGGTATTTCAATTACCATATTTTTCTTATAAAAATCTTTTAAAAATAGAAAATATAAGAATATATCGAAGGTAATCTTTATATGCTCGCAAATATTTAATTATTTAAATATTTTTTAATATATTTTTGACTTCAAAAAATATTTAAATAATTAAATAATACTAAAATAATTATATTTAATTTTAATAATATGTACTTTAGAATGAAAAGATAATTTTCTATATCATAAATTAGTCATTATTAAGACATTTTATTAATATAAATTTTATTACTATACATTTTATTGATATAAACATATATATTATATTTGTTCAGATAAAGAAATATTGGTTTAAAAAAATATTGAAAAAATTATAATACTAATATAATTAGAATATAAATTGTAACAATAGAACTATTTCATATATACAGGCTTATAAAAATGGAAGACATTTTTGGAGGGTGGATTCTAAACATCAAAACGGTAAAAAAAGTTTATATATACATATCTCTGATAAGATATAATTAAAGAGTTATAAGCATTTTAAGTTTATATTTATATTTATATAAGTTTATATTTATATTTATATTTATATTTATAGGTAGAATGAGACGGCGAAACAGCGAAAACGTTCAACTGGGTGCGCGACGTACTGTATTGCAATGTCACTTGCGAAGTCTCTCAATGAAAGTAAATATACTGATACTTTTTTATATATAATTGATTATTTCAAATGAATTATAAGATAATATACAATGTACATAAATATCATGTCATCTAACATTTTTATATCATTTTTATTACATTTAAAAAAAAATTTTAATTATGCAAATTAAAATTTATGTAATTAGTTATTTAATAGAAACTTACCTCAGATAAATTAGCAAATTTCACAATATTTAGAATAATATGATTATACAATATTTCATTTAAAATTATAGATAAATTGTTGTATTTCATTCAACCTACTATACTTATCGAAATCTATAGAAGCAAATCAAAACACACTTTTATAAGATTTTGAATTAGAAAAGTTAAATTTATTTTTTAAATTATTTTCACATGTATAAGAAAATCCGAAATATTAATGATACTTGAATCAATTTGAATTTCAGATTATTAAATTATTCAATCAAATCACTAAAAAATATTTATCTTTATTTCACTTGCACTAAATATTTTTCATTCTTATGCAAAGAGAAATAATAGTCAATCTGGATATTAGTTATTAATAATATGAACCAATATTATATATTAATATCATATATCCATAAAAAATGCATATCACAATATTATCACAATTATTTTTTTTATACGCTTGAATGAATATTAAAAATTCACTAATTTTTTTTTTTTTTTACACTTTTATTTCTAATATACGTTACATGAATATTACTAACGAACTGAATCCAGAACAAAGTAACACTATCTTAGCAATGGAAAAGATTGTTAACTTAAGTTTTCGTATTCTTATATTTAAAATATACAAATATAACATTTGATTTCGAATATTACTATCTTATTTTTTCTATCAAGTCTCTTTTTCTAACGTCCAGCTTTCAATTGTTAGCAACATTATTTCAGTAATATATTGTTGCATCGCGGAGTTAGTTCAGAATTTGATGAAATATATATTTGAATATTTGTTTAGAATAAAGTTTTAAATAAATAATTTTCATATAAAATTGTACAATAATAAATAATAATGGAAATAATTTTATTCAAAGAAATTAATATGAATAGTAAATAAAAAAAAAATCTAATATGCAATAGTAATGTGAAAAAGAAAAATGCAATAATTATATGATTTCTTTAATGGATATAAGATAGTAGCATTAATATTATATTAAAATATAGATATTGAATTTTAACTTCTCTTTTAGTAATCTTATATTGGAATAAAAAATATTGAATTTAAATGAAATAGAAACAGAAGTTTTCAATTAATGCTTCAAATGGTCTATAAATTTCAAATTGATTCAAGTATCATTAATAAAAAATACATTCAATCTTTCTAATTTGAAATCTTATAAAAGGGTATTTTGATTTGCTCTTATAGATTTCAGTAAGCAGATTAAGTATCATACAACAATTTAATTATGGATTTATATAAGTGGTATATATGTTTATGTCGAATAATACTTTAAAATTTACTTATTCGAGGTAAGTTTTTGTTAAGTAAAGAATTACATAATACGTGCATTATATTACATTACACTATTCATTTGAAATAATCAAATGTATTTAAAAAAATATCATATATTTACTTTCATTAAGAGGCTCCGCTACTCAAATGACATTGCATTATGGTAACTGCCGCATAGTTGAGCCTTCTCACTGTTTCGCCGTCTCATTTTATCTAATATAAACTTAAAATATTTATAACTCTTTAATTAAGCTTTATCGGACATATATATATGACCTTTTTTAATTGTTTTGATGTTTAGAATCCTCCCTCTAAAGATGTCTCACATTTTTATAAAAAACTCCCATTTGAAATATATCTCAAACTATTATCATTCTATTGTACAAAAAGAATATTTTTACATATAAAATAATAATTTAAATAATTTTATAACTTAAATATTTTTTATTTATTTAAGATAATAATATTATTTCATTTATTGTGTAATGAAATTTTATCAAATAGTTAGTGTTTTATATAAAATTTATATTTAAGATCAATATGTAACATAAGTATCCGTCCATATTAAATATTTTTTATAAAAAATTTATATATATTTAAAATTAATATATGACACAATTATCCGTCCATATTAAATATGTTTTATATAAAATTTATATTTAAAATTAATGTATGACACAATATCAATTCATTTATTATTTTTATAAGTCATATTATATTTTTATAAGTCATATTATATTTTTATAAATCACTAATAAAAAATGATAAATTAAATAAATTAATTAAAAATATATTTAAATATATTATAATTGAATGTAAATAAAAGAGATTTTTTTGTATATGTATGTATTATTTCATTGTGTATATATTATTATATTATATAATTATTATATAGTAAATTAATGAATTTATATTAATTTATAATAATTAATGAATAAAAGAATGTTATAAGAATATTGAACAAATGAATATTATATTTGAGATAATAAGATTAAAGTATGCAAGATAAAGCTAAACAATATCAAAATTTTAAGATATAAACCATGAAAAGCGATGTAAAAAGTAAAATTCCTTCATAAAATTACTTACAAAGTTCCCATTCTATTTGCGAATGATTAAAAAAAGACATTTGAAGTAAAGAGATATCGAAAGAAAGATTTCGACATTAGATATTAAACATTTTTTAAAATAAATTATAGTTTTAGAGATATATTTAATTTTTCACTTAAAGATTAAATGAAATATCTAATATATTAAAATGCATGACACGATAGATTTGCAGTAAATATAGATTGCCAAAATAATTTTTGTATTCTCTAAATATCTCTTATTTATAATTTTTTTACTACTTTTTTTTTAATTGATAAAAATTATTATGAAAATATACTAACATTAATAACTTTCACAATAGGTTAATTGTTTTTGATTTCTTTAAATTTACTATTTAATGAATATATTCAAAAATTAAATATTATATTATTTTGATGAATGAAAACATTTTTTAATATTATTTTTAATATTTTTTAATATGATAGATTTCTAAAACATTAATTTGATATTAGATTTGAAATAATGTTATCATTGATTTCAAGACAAGCATATGTCATTTTTAAATAATTTTTAATATTTTTAAATTGAATAGCTTTCAAAAATTTTGATACATATTGATTTATATTTATGATTTTATGATTTTATGACATTCTATAAAATAAAATGTAACAAGTCGACTTTTTCATTTTCATATACTGAAAATTTTTTGCGAATAAAATACTTTTTTCAGAATTTTAAAAATATTCTATTTCAATTGTTATCAATTTTGAATAACCAGATAACAATAAATACAATTTAAAAAACAGATTAAAAAAAATATGAGATATTTAGTTTTTAGTCTGTTTTACTTTGAGATTTAACTTATTTATTTTTTTATTAATAAAATGACTATTTAATCATTATAATGATTATATTAATAATTAAAAATAATAATTTTTATATTTTTTTTTTGAAAGAGTCTGTGGATTTTTTACAAATGTTTATTTTTATGTGACGAAATTTAAACAAAATTTTTTTAAAATAATATAAAATATAATATGTAAAATATGAAACGACGGTAAAAATTGTAATCGCAAGATCTGATAATTAAAATTTATAAGTTTCAACTATTAACAAATCTATCAAAATTCATCTAATTATAAAAATAAGATTTTCAAGATTATTAATTAATAAATTATAAAAATTATCAGATGGATTATGGTTCTAGAAAAGTTAAGATAAATGTAACTTAAAATTAAAGTAAAACTTCTTTTTTTTCTTTTTTTCCTTAATTATTTCCTTATTTTTGTTTATATATTAAAATGATTTAATATATAAACAATTAATATTTTGTCTTTTAAAAACATATCTTAAGCATTATATATCAAATTAATCAGGATATTACTGTATTAAATTCTAGGTATTATAAGATTTATTATTAGATATCGATTTCATATTCTGTTAATATCATTTCTTAATATCGATTAAAAATAGTTTTTTCATATCTCTTTAAAAAATATCTTTCCATTAATCTTTCGCAATAATATTGTACAACTATCAATCTTTAACAATATGATAATAATTTTTAACTAATTGAATTTTGAAAAATTATGAAAACAAAATACTAGTCAGAATTTTATAATGAAATTATATTATATA